TATTCTAGTTCTTAAGGCTCCTACATTGCAGCTCTGTCGGAAGATCTGCGAAAAGGGCGGAACTGATCCGCCTGGCCTGGAGTCTCTTGGCCTTCAAGGGCCCAGAAGGCCACGTCATCTAGGGGCCTTAATGATAAGAATAAGGGTTTGGGGTATGTTATACAGAAATTTTGATAAGGAAGGAACCCCACAAAATAGTATACGCAGGTATAATTATTTAGGCCCCCATAGTAGCTGTGCGGGTAGTTAAGGTTTAGGGTGCTGGGGGCTGAAGGGTTTTTTTTGGAGTCAGACGTCTAGAGTCTTACTTTTGATGGTCCTCGGTTTAGGGTTTAGGGTTTAGAGTTTAGGGTTTAGGGTATTTTCGGTGCAGGGTATGTAGGACTACCCTCTATCATGCCCCTCAATGCCCTCTTTGCTCATGTTTTACGCTCTGCTAGGGACTATAAGGCTTTATTTGAACGGTACTTGGTGGGTCCTGGCTGGCAGTTCAGGGTTTAGGGTGTGGTGTTGCAGGCTTCGGCTTCAAAGTAGGGTTGAGGGTTTCAAGTTTGGGGCTATCGGGTCTATACTTGGAGGGTCGGTGCACCTAGTGAGTAGGTAACAAGTAGACTGATAAGTACCCTAGAGAGGGTCCTAATTGGTGCGATGGTACTTATAAACTAGATAAATACTTGCTGAGTCCCCCGACCCTCCAAGTGAGCATCAAGACTTTGAAGCAGGTAACAAGTGGACTTGTAAGTACACACCTCCAAGTAAACCCCAAGATTCTATTCCTTCATTTACTGTACGGGCCAACTAAAATCCGGCTTTGGGGCTCCTTAATACTACAAGGATAATAAGAAACCCCTAAGGAATAATATTGGTAATAATTTGGTTTAGGGTTTAGGGTTTAGAGTTTTGGGTTTGGGCTTCTGCTTTCTAGCCTTTGGGCCTTCCCACGCCCTGAAAGGGAGGACCTCACTGGTCTCAGCTTCGGCGTGGGGGTGGCCTGCTTCAGGGCTGCGGGTTTAGGACCATAAGGTTTGGGTTTAGGGTTTAGGGTTTAGGGTTTAGGGTTTTAGGGTTTAGGGGTTAGGGTTTAGGGTCATACATCCCTAAACCCTAAATAGCCTAATCCCCAAACTGGAAACCCTAAGCCCCAATCCCTAAACCCTGAACCCCAAACCCATGTAGTAGAAAGTTTAGGGTTCAGACCCCTAAGTACCCTTTAATAACGAAATACAATTCCGGGGCCTTGATAATTAGAACAAGGTTTTGGGCTCCTTTATAGTATATAAGTATAATAAGGAACCCTTTAGGAATACTATTTAGAATTATTTACCCTCATGGCCCAAGCACCCAAACAGCGCGGTTTCAAGGTCCCAAAAAACCCTCGGAGTATGGGCTTTGGAACTTGGACCGTCTGGGAAAGCCCCTGATTACAGGATTTTTGGGTGTAACAGAGGGTAGTTGGGGGGGTCTAGGTATGGTTCGGTCTCTAGCTCAGGGTTTGGGTTCCGAGCCCAGTGTTGAGGGTGCAGGATGTTAGTCTCCTGACGGTTTAGGGTTTAGAGGTTTAGGGTTTAGGGGTTTAGTGGTTTTAGGGTTTAGGGGTTTTAGGGGTTTAGGGGTTTAGGGGTTTAGGGGTTTTAGGGGTTGAGGGTTTTAGGGCCCATGGGCCCGCAAACAGCAGTTCAGAACATTTGCAGAATGGGCGGGGGGCCTCGCCGCTGTTGTGAATACGACTGTAAGGTTCATGTGTCACACTATAGTATCACTTGGACTACTTCTTCGCCTATACCCTAAGCCTAAACCCTAAACCCTAAACCCTAAACCCTAAACCCTAAACCCTAAACCCTAAACCCTAAACCCGGACATCTCGAATGCTTCCTTCCCAAGCTCGAAACCATAAAGAACCGAGGTTTAGGCTCCTTTCTTCAATACCATCAACTATACTGAACTTAGACCCCTAGCAAAAATTGTAATTTTAGCTGCTTCTTAGGGTTTTTAGTAGCCAAAGATTAAAAATTATTTCTAAGTACCCCTAAGTCGAAGGGTCCAGGCACCCCATAAACTTTTGCTCCTCCAAATACTAACCTACGAAACTGCTATACCAAACCCAAGTACCCAAATACTGTGTCCTGCGAACCCTTAAGGTGATCCGGAGGTTCTGCTCAAACTCAACGTCCACGAGCAGGACTTACTTACAAAAGAAGTGTCATCTACTAGATGTAGAAGGCCCAAAAATTGCGAACTACTACCCCAGATCTTCTAACAACCATTAATTCAGGCATATACCTTAAAAAACACATGGGGGATCCTACAATCTGAGGCATATTCCTTACTTAAGGGATATTGGAAGATCTGCGCCGTTGTGCTATGCAGGTGGTTGTCAAGATTAGGGTCTCATTTAGGCTCCCAAATTATACTGAAAGTAGCATTAACTTAGTAATCGGGAAGTAAGTAGACTTACAAGTACCCTAAATTGGATCCTAATTGGGGTTATGATACTTATCAGCCTATAACACAACTACTTACTAAGTCCCCGACCCTCCAAGTAAAACCTAAACACATAAAACCTAAACCCCTGAATCCTAGATCCGAAACCCTAAGCTCTAAACCCTCATCCTTCAACCCTTTTGGATTCCCGAGTCGCACCATGATTTGGGTTTAGCGTTTTACGGTTTAGGGCTCAGGGCTTACAGTAGGGTTTAGGGTTTGAGAGTTATCCATGTGGAGCTCGAAGGCGAAATCAAAACCCATGAATGATGCAATGAGGCCCCCAATAGACCGTACATGCGGACCTGGTCTCTTGCGCAGTGTTCATGGGTTCAATTGCAAAGAAAGCCCTGGGAACACCCTGAGAAGCCTCAGAACCCTCGTCGAGGTTCACTTCCTTCGTCACCACCGGTCATATTTGGCACCAATCCTTGGCATCGGAAGACGCAAGAAGCACACCCAGGTAGTGCTTGTGTTTTTTTTATCCGTTCTATCCGACCTTGGGGCGTGGATTCGGCGTGGACTTAATGTAGGGGCCTTAACACTTTAATGGGCTTGTGAGGTAGAATATACTATAACTATGAAAAGGAACCCCCAAGATAGCATAGGTACTTGTTAAGGCCCCTATGCTAAGATGTCCCCCCCTTTGCGTGACATCGAGAGCATGTTGGGCTCAGGTTCCAAAACTTGGGGTTCTGGGAGTGGAGGCTAGGGCTAATGTAAGGGCCTTAATACCTGGAATAGGGTTTTTCGGGCTCCTTTATAGTACAGTTATAATAAAGAACCCTGAGGATTTCTATAGGAAACCATTTAAGCTTCTATATTAGGAAAATAAACCCAAAACCCGTAAACCCTAAACCCTAAACCCTGGATGTTTCTGATTTCCCATACGTCAAGCAGGGCTTCGTGTGCCCAAGCCTGAATCCTAAGGCGTGGGCTTGGCAGCTGTTGCTTTGGGATTCCTTTAGACCAATGTGTCTATGACAGGGTTTAGGGTTTAGGGTTTGGGGTTTCAAGAGCTGGGGTGGGGTTTCATAGGTTTTTGCTCTCGGATCTTGGCCACAGGGCTTTGTGGGAGTGTACCCACGCAGTAGATACTTTGGCCGTAGAAGGGCGCCGGTATGTACTGTGTAGGTTATGGGTCATGAATGCTGGCAGAATAACCCGAAAACCCTAAACCCTATAAAACCCTATAAAACCCAAACCCCTAAACCCTAAACCCTAACAACTCATCACGCTTTCTTGTCGGGCCTGAATAGAGACCCGGATGCAGGGGCGTTTTCGTGGTCGTAGAAAGCAGGAGGTTGTAGTAGAAACCCTCAGCCCTATAAACCCTGGACCCTACAAGCCCTAAAGGGGTTTGGGGTTTAGGGTTTGGGGTTTATGGTTTTGGGTTTAGGACTTTGGGTTTAGGGTTTAGGGTTTGGGATTGTTCTTTTTTAAAGTGGGGACGTGCCTTAACTCCTGACTCCACGCACGAGCCTTGTAGGCTACCATTCAGTGAAACAGAAAACTAGCTATCCATCCCCTCAGTAGGAGCAGCCAGGGGGGGCGCCTTTAGACACCCGAGTGGGACTTCGAGAGCGACCACCTTCCGACGTGGCATCAGACACCCACTCACTCCAGGACGACTGAATTCGCGGAGGCGACGGCGAAACACCCACCAACTCACCAGAAGATGACGGTTTAGGGTTTAGGGTTTAGGTTTATAGATCGGCTGGATACATTCCTGCAGCACCGGTAGGCTTTTCTGTACAGAGGACTTTCGCTCACACGGCCGTCGCGCCCATTTTGGGCATACACAGAGAACTCACCGCGATATGTGTCTCGGAGGAAACGCAACAAGGCTTAGGGATTTACGGGAATGAGGGTTGAGCAAGGGTATAGGCAACGAGTCTAGGAGTCTAGGAGGCATTGCACACTCCTGGGTGTAGACCAGGATGGGTTCATGCAAAGTTTACCATAAGACTACTTAAGACATAAGACTGAATTGCGCTAGAGCTGCATGCGCATTGAACTGTGAGTATCCATGAAACAGCAAGTGGCCTGCCAAGCTATGCTGTACCCATGCACAAAGAGTACATTGAGCCGTCATAGGCAGAACTCGCCCTAGCCCCTAAACCCAAAGCCACGCTAGCGATCCTAACCGCCTGGGAGGTCATGCGTTTGGAAACAGAATTCATTTACTCACGGTAGTGCTGGCAAGCGCCTGTTCGTAAAGAATGGTATGTTCGAACGAAAAATTACGGTGCCCTATGTAATGTGGTGCCCAGAATCAACGTCAAGTTGACTGCTTCATAGTTCATGAGGCAAGCGAACTTGGAGGCTCTGGACGGTATGTATTTAGTTCGTCAGGAAAGGCGTCCACATACTCGTGAGTGACTGCTGCTGCTTCGCAGCATGCAGTCCTGGGAACATCCGGAACCCCGGGTAAACACTTACCCTAAACCCAAACCCTATACCCTAAACCCTAAACCCTAAACCCTAAACCCTAAACCCTAAACCCTAAACCCTAAACCCTAAATCCTAAACCCATCAGACCAGACTGACACATCCGATGGCATTCGGAACATGGACCCATGGTCGGCTTCCGGTGTGGAAAAACTCGGCTGAGGGGTAGCCGTGGGTGTGACATCAGATGGGTCTTCGAGCTCTTCAATCGCACCTGCCAGTCGATGATTTGTCAGGGTCGGCCGAAGAAAGCATAATCCCAGGAGCAGTGCTACAACGAAGACGATGGTAGGAGGCCAAGCATTATCCGCGGTCCACAGCAACAGGAAAAATGTACCGGTTAGAACGGCTCCCGGCACAACAAACAGCGTGAACACCAAAAATCCAATGCGCCAGGCATGTCGGGTATTTGGAAACATGCGGGCAGCAACAGTCGACAGGGTCACGGCAAGGAGTCCCGTTAAAAAGATCATTGTGGCCACGAAGGCCCACTCGAGGAAAACATGGCTCCAAAGATAATATGCAAGGTCGCATCGATCACACGCATCTTCGTCAACTTGTATACCTGGGTGGGCCAGTTTATAACTTGGAAAGATACTGGTAATTAAAGGTCATCCTCTTCAGCCCAATAAGGAAAAACAAAACATCTTAACGCCCTGAGTACCTAGATACGCCAGAGCATCCTCTCTATGGCGTCCGCCAGCCACGGCATGCTGGCGGCACCAAGCATGCACAGTAGAGGTGCGGTGGGGACGGCATGCGGCATTTGTCTGAGCACGGAGCGTCCCAACCTGACCAATTCAGGCGACTTCTCAATAATTCCCCCTGACCTCTTACCCCCCCGAACCCGTGAGCCCTAAACCCTAAACCTATGACACCCTAATTAAAGGAAACTACAGGTGGGGAGTTTAGGGTATATAGGGCTTCTACAGGGCTTCCATAATGTATAGACCTTCTGTAAGGGCTCCTATAACGGTATCTACCCACCTGAAAATGTCCTAGACAATAAGTACGTTGTAATGTGGATAGTGTGCAGGTACGGAGATTGGGGCTGTGTATCCTATAAGCCCTAAACACTACACACTACTTGGTGTTATCCTATTCAAACCAACCGTAAACCGTAACCATGAGCCCTTGACTTGGTAGCTGAGTTGATAAGACCAGAAAAGTGTACACTTTCAGTTTTTAGTAGGTAGTATTAAGAAAAAGTGTAACATGTATCCATTCAGCAACTGAGTTAAGTATAGAATAGCCTATTTACCAAGGCACCTCTTCCTCGAGGTATTGCAGTCTGACTGGAGCATATCAGGGCCGAGAAGTACTTCAAGGCTATAAAGGGTTTAGGATGCAGGCATTTTGGGTTTAGGGCTTAGGGTTGGGGGTGTAAGGGGATTAGCAGGACGCAGGGTCTGGGGCTCGGGATTTTGGGTTCAGGGTGGAAGGCTAGGGTGTTATAGATATGCTAGTTGGTATAGCGTTGAGGATTTTGGGTATAAGGGAATTAGGAAACCGTTTAGGTAGCTCACGCGCTCACAGCCCCGGCAGAATCCCTTCCAAAGCTAACCCTAAGGCTCCATGTCCACATGCAGCACATACTTTGGCCCTTGAGTACCTATTATATAAGGACTACTTCTAGGATTCTAGGCCTCATGGACCTTCAGGGGAACCAGAGAAAACCCCAACGCCGATGTTGCGCATGGCCTGTGATGAACCAGGGAGTTGAATCGCTGCAGATACTCTTTGTCAGTGTCCGTCGGGCGGCCATACCACTCCTAAGCTGTACAAGAACCCACCGGGAAAAGTATGTCATTACTCTTTTTAGCTCGGCTAGCTTGTAGTTGGAACCCCCGAAACGAAAATTGTACTTGTTGGGGGGGTAGCTACACTACACTTGGTAAGTAAGCAAACAGATACTGTTTGGGGATAGTTGCGTTACCTAATTCAAACCCTAAACACTAAACCCTAAATCCTAAGCCTTCAACCAACTCAGAACCCCAAAGCAACACCAACGAAGAGCAAAGACTCTTTCAGCTTGCGGTAGACCAGCTCCCGGTCACAGGGGATGTCTGCTCCTGTGCGGTTTGGGCGGGTTTCGGGTCCAGGGGTTTAGGGTTTAGGGTTTCGGGTTTAAGGCTTCGGGTTTCGGGGTTTAGGATTTCGGGCTGGGTTGCAGGGTCTCGGATTTCGGGGCTTAGGGTCTGGTTCAGGACTGAGTCTCAGAGGTACTCCCCTATACTTAGTTTAGGGTTCAGGGTTTAGGGTTTGCTATACTCTATACTGAACTTAGACCCCTAACAAAAATTATAATTTTAGCTGCTTCTTAGGTTTTTAGTAGCCAAAGATTAAAATTGATTTCTAAGTACCCCTAAGTACTAGGCTTTGTTTGATGTGAGGAAGCCTTCACCGTAGAACGGATTGCCCCACTACCTCTAAACCCCAAAGCCTAGACCGTCAACACAGAACCCTAAACCGTAAACCCTAAACCCTAAACCCCAAAGCCTAGACCGTCAACACCAAACCGTAAACCGTAAACCCTAAACCCTAAACCCTAAACCCCAAAGCCTAGACCGTCAACACCAAACCCTAAACCGTAAACCCTAAACCCCAAAGCCTAGACCGTCAACACCAAACCCTAAACCGTAAACCCTAAACCCTAAACCCCGAAGCCTAGACCGTCAACACCAAACCCTAAACCCGTAAACCCTAA